CAGAAAGTGCCAAAAGCCTTAAAGGATTAAAGTTAAAACAGAAGAGTAGCAGTGAAATGAAAGGAGCATAAAACCCAGAACTAAAGGAAGGAGCTCTTTTTATCCATCTGACTGTACAGTGAGTGTACAGTAAGTGAAACCTATCTCCTAATCCTTCAGAGGTGCTGACAGTCAGACCAAGAACATGATGAATATCCACACCATAGGCATAATACAGTGATACAATTTCCAATAATGAATGCCCAGAAGAGGACATTTGAACACTTTAAGAGTGGTAACAGCAGTTGTCCCAGCTAAAAATCCTAGTAGGAAGGAATTAATATGCTCACAATGTTATAACTTCTGCCTACTTGGATTTATTTTAGATTGTTCATTTTACTTAATTCATCTATGGAGGTTGTTCTCTCTAGCTGGGGCTCAGATGAGGCTGAGCATACATTCAGCAAAGAAAGAAGGCCAATTTGTGCACTGGATGCCAATTAATAAAGTGCTTGGTCGAGAAAGTTGCCTGCTTGCTGCTCTACTGACAACAGATCCATTTATATTGCTGTTTTCTGTGTCTCTGAAGGCTCTTTTAATTGGATTTAAATCAGTCCTTATTCACTGAGAAGGACCAACACGGTGGTTTGTTATGGAAGGCTGAAATGAAAAAACAATACCAGATAATCTGGTTGAGCAAACACACTTTTGATTGGTGACCTTGGCAGAGAAAATCACAAACACGTAGAATATGGTCAAATATCTAACATGTGGCTGCAATCGCGGCAATTTCACTTCAACAACTAGCTTTATGAAAGAAACTTTGAAATAGTAGATCAATACATCATTCTGTGAGGACCTTTGGCAGTACTGCATATTCAGCCAGAAATGTTTCATGCTTCCAAACAATATCTGCAGAGATTATCTGTGGAAAAGAATTATGTAAATACAACAATATGCAAACACTAATAGGATTTCTCGTACACAACAGATCTGTGCACTTTGGGGGTTGAGAGAGCGTGGCAGGTAGCCATTTAGATGGCAATGTAACTCTACTGACATCATTATGTAGTCAAGCAAAAGGGGAAAGAGGCAGGCTGGAAAATATCTGATGAGGGGGAAAAAACATTGAATAGATTAATGTTTCTCACACTATTTTTGAATCTGTCTTTACAACAAAGGTCAATGTTTATTTAGCAATTAAAGTTGTTTTTTAACCTTGGTTTACTCAATGAAGGTTAGTTTAGAATCCATATGCCTCACAGTCTTGTGTAATAAACAACGTCCTTGGGGAAATACATCAGACAAAAAAGTACACCTCAAGCAGAATAAAACGGCTTGCAAAAGACTGTTAAAAGACAAAGACAGATCTGTAAACTGTAACCACCGTTACAGGGCTTCCCATACCATACCAAAGCAAGAATGAATACAAATTGGGAACTATCCTGACTTTGCAATCACTTCCAAAACATTGTAGTTGAGTTGAGCCACAACATATAAAGTGAAAGGCCAACAAGTTTTACCACTAAAAATGAAATCAATCTAGGTAATATTACATCATCTCTATAGTTAGATAATCAAAATAAATAAGGTTATTTGTGTTTAATGTAGGAAAATGATGCACTAAATGGTGGGAAGAATAAAGTATTTGACAGGTTTTTCTTTCTTCATTGACAATAAATAATTTTGTATTTGCTTGGATGTGGGAGGGGATCTCCCCTTTTGTCACTGAGCCCATCTCCAGCCCGTCAGGCCAAAACACACAGCTTTGAACTCAGCAAACGTTGTTGTCTCCATCTTACTTTCTGTCACCCCCCTCCCCCGTCTCAAGCCCCTCCGTGGCTCCATCTCTCCATCTTCAAGGCTCATCTCTGCATCCACTTCCTTTACCCACTCCATCTCTATCCACATGCCTTTCCCTGTAAGTGCTGTGCCAGCAAAGTGATGGGGAAATGGCACCATCCTCATTGAGAAAGCAAGCAGACAAAGTGGGGGTAGAGGAGGTGTTCGGTGACAAGCCGTGAAACTCAGCCATCAGACAACATACTGCGGTAATCACACAGCTCCAGTAGATGGAATATATTGCTGAAGTTTCAACTAGAGAAAAGAATCGAGGCAAAAATAAAAAAAGGGGAGGATGCATCATGAAAACTTCGGAGAACATTATTCTTTTTGATGAGAACAGAATAGAATGGTCAGAAAATGCTCAGGGTGTGAGAGTGCGGGGCACCAAGACAGGTGAGGGAGGGAGGATAAGGTTTGGGTTTGGGACACAACCATGTAATAATATTACTTTAGTGTTATTCCTCAACACTAATAAGAGCGTAAAAGTGCTATGTGTGCATTTTTCTTGGAGTGCAGAAGCCTCAGTGATGGTAACTACAGGAAAGGTGAGATTAACATGGCCGACTCAACATAGACTCTACTTGCAGCTCATGACAGATCACCCAATGCGCTGCTCAGTGTGGGTAAAGGGTTCATTTTCTCAAAATTAACCTTGTCAAACTTCTGTTCTGCCTGGGGGAGATTTGTATTACTATTGTAATTTTTCAATCAGAGATTGGGGATAGTGTGAAATTATCTCAACGTTCCCCCACCTCACTCCATTTACTTAACTCTCGAATTCCTCACTTCTCACAATCTCCCACTTTCATACATCTTTTAGAATTTACCACATTTCAAAGATTCTTATGACAGGGTCCATCATTTTTGTGTTTACAATCTATAGATAGAGAGAGCCTTTTAACTATACAATCTCAGCACATCCTGCTATTCAAGCAGAAGACTTCTGCTGGGTCAAAATTAATTACACATACTGTTAAGCACACACCAGTTGTTGTAAACAAATGCAACACATTCTCATTTCAAACAACTATAAATCTTCTGTGTATTTCCAAACAAGTCGGGCCATCATCAAGCTGTGCTGGAACTCTGACTGAAAAATTACTCTTATTAATGTGCACCCAGATGGAGAAAATCACAATAAAGTAAAGGCTTTCCCAAAGTTGATTTAAGGGTTTGCTTTTTTCACTGTCCTTCTCGAATCTTTGCTGCATCACAATTGAACAACTCCAGTGCTCTTAAGCCAACCGTTCTCTCTGCTTTTGGTTGTTTTCTTAAATAGATTCTGTTAATTCTGTGTTTTTTAACTTTTCCTTTAGAACTAAGCCCACCAGACCTATTATTAAAATACTGTTTGCTCAACTGACATAACTGTTGACCTGTTGCCATTGATTCTCTTAAAAAACTGCCACTCATATTTGATGCTTATACTCAAATCATTCCGTATGCAATTATTTACAATGTTTGAACGCCACTACAATTTAAAGCCTCCAAAAGACTGCAGTGCACTGAACACTATCAAATTCCAAATTATAGACTTAATTGGATAGCCAAGCACATAATGGAGACATTATGCTTCCAAGCATCTAACTAAGCATCTCACTCCTACCAAAAAATCCTTGTTGTTGAATAACAGGATTCAGCTATTTGTATTTTTTAACGGAAAATGTAGTCCTGCTCTGAAGAACATTTTCAGAACTCATAATGAAAATCCTACAAAAATAGCTGTAATGCAGTACTTCATCATCATGTCTGCTAGTTGTGATGCTATCAAATAGTGCCATATCCATAATTTTTTATCTATATAGAGTTTAATCAAATAATTCAATTCTATATACAAATCTCTGCCTATAATATCTCTCACATTCATGCTAGGAAACCCCACTGTGGAGTTTAAACGTTTGGCTTAACAGGTGTCCTTTTAATGTCTGTAGTGCTAAAACACTGCTGTCCTTGGAAAAACAATGTCTAAAAGCATCAATCTAGATGGCTTAAAATTGTCCATAAACAGGAAATAGAAAAACTTAAAATACTGACATTGAGGGTAACGATACCATCAAATGCATTTCAACCAAACCTGTGACTGCACACCAATCCAGCAAAAGGAGAAAGATAACAGCAGCCACAAATTATTCTAGCCATTACTTGGCAGCTGTATTCTATTCTTGCAATGTGTTTAAAACCTTCCCACTCCCTCAGTGGTCCTTCTGACTGGCTATCTGTTCCATTTTGAAAAAGGCCAACCAAACTGTTAGAAAGGCCACCTTCACTCAGCCGTCCAGTCCTGCCAATCGGCCATCCTGTTTCCAGACAGCACAGTCATTTCCCAGCCCAGTGGAGCAGCACTCCCTGACCTCTGCCTCGACCTCTGTCTCAACAGCCTGAGCATCAGGACCAGCTACAGTCCAGAGCACTGGCTCCGGCCACCTCTGCTTATTTATGAGCCATTTCACACAGTGCTGCTCCCATTAGAGACCCAGCCATAGCCCACCTTACACGCCACCTTTATTGCATTCAACACATGGACTACACCAACAGGGCCAGGGGGACATGGCCAAGCAGTGGTTGATGCTGTGGGGGTGGGATTGTTGTCTTATAAGTACAGTGATACATTGAACTTAAAACTGCTTCAACAAGCAGAGAAAGGCAGACATGTTAATCTATAAAAGCTGCAGACAGCTACTTGGGAACTAATCGCTTCCCTCTTACATATTACTTTATTACTGCTTCATCTTTAGAAAGATGTGATGAATACTTATTTGACTGTCCTGAGGGATATAATCACCCACTGATCTAATTTAACGATGCATAAGAACTGATGGGTTTTGCTTATTGCACTGTAATTGGACATTTCATTATTTCCTATTCATTTCATTGAAGCTTTGCTTTGACTTACAAAGACACAGAGAAGTTAGGCATCCACAGGAGGAAATTCGTCTGACAGATTGATTCACAAAAGCACATAATAATGATTAAAGAAGAAAAAGAAGAAAAAAGAAAAGAAAAAGAAACTGTGCGCATGAGTGAAAAAAACCATTAGTCTCGGCTGGTAGTATTTAATCATTCCACGAAGTCCCAAAAATTAGGTTGTTTACTTTGCACATGAATGAAGGTGACAATGTTGACTAAAAGACCTCAAATCATGTAGTGAACAACTTGAGAAGATGAACCACTCCCACCTGTGATTGTGACAAAGGCGAAGCCCTCCTCACCGAGGAGTGGGTTGATCAGATGGCAGCTGTAGGTGCTGTTCGGCTCCAGCACTACTCTCAGCATGCTGGTCATGCTGAATAGTCCTTCTTCGTTGGCCACCACTGACGTGGTAATGTTGTCCGTCAGGTTGCGGCTGCTCCCGTCCCGCCATATAACGCTGCACTCTGGATAACCTCCATACGCCAAACAAGTCAGGACCACTTCATCACCGGGCCGCAGGTTGGATTCAGGCTCTAAAGTCAACACAGGCTTGGTGTATTGAGCTGGGAAAACAAGAAGAGCACAGAAACAAGGAGAGTAAATGTGTGCACATTCAAGGAAGGAGGTTCAAAATATAGGTGGATGGTCTGGTCGGGTGAGGGATGTAGTCAAGGGTGAGCATGTGGTCAAGCACGGTGCAAGAGACACAAAATGAATTTACTAGATTCTTATTTTCTCCAGTGAGTGTCACCCCGGGAACTGCTTGACGTAATTCCCATTAAATTCTTAATTATATTTAGGTAGCTTAGCATAACCCAGTGCTTAAAATCATCAGCCACATAGAGCATCCGTGGCTCATACTGATGCTTCACCCCTTCGCTATAGAGACCCAAAGCACTGAGCTACATCCACAAGTAAAAAACAAAAGACGTGTGGAGGGAAGCTGTGGGGAGGCCAGGGAGAACATCAACAAGCATAAAGATTAGGCGCAACTCAGCCTATAGCCAGAAATGAAAGTGGGGGATGCGTTGTCAGCCAAGGTTGGAACCACGCTCCTCCAATTCCTCGAGACAAATAATAATAGACATGTAGAGAGAGGTGGAAGAGGGAGAGGCTGCCTTATTCCCACAGCACATCAAACAAAAGGTGTGAGGTGATGAAATAAGTTTGCCTGAGCGGTTTTTTGAAAAGTGGCACAAAGACTGATTTAGCATGGGCCACACTAACTTCTCCAGCTGTGTATTTGACTTACAGATTTCCATCAAGGGCTCCTTTCATTTTCTTCCAGCGCAGCATGAAGGACGCTTGCAGTACTAAAAGTAAATATTGGCCAAAAATAGAATTTCTAAAAATCTACCGCATGAAATGGAACCAATTTGCCACTGTTGGACACACTTTTTTTTCCCACAGACAAATGAATTGTTATTCATCAACACGGCGTAATGCGCATCCTTCCTGGGAGTGGAGCAATGTCACGACAGATATAGAAATGTGAGAAGGAAGGGAGGGGGGGCACAGTATCATTATAAATAAATACGAGGGTCTCAGCTTCGGTGGGCGATGTACTCCCACAGTAGACAGGATGTTAGTGATAGCTGATTGACCGTGACAACAGCTAATATTCAAAGTCAGCAAATATTGATTACGAAAGGGAACACAATCAGTGCTTATTGACAAAAAACAAAGCCCAGTAACCCCAAGGAAGCCGTTTATCGCCTGCTTACATCTTGCGAGAGGACATTTTTCGGAATTACCTGCACCACTGGTGTGTAGTGTACTGATGTATGTGGTCAATGTCTTCACGTCATGAAGACAAGGTAGAAAATAGCTCTTTACTAATGTATTCCTCCGGTCATCAGGCACTGCAATAATTTTAACTACAATACTTAAATAATATCCCGGTAAAATGTTTGTAGGATGTTTTTCCTTTCAAAATTCTAGCAATGCTTACAATTTTGAGTAAAAGACTGACGAAATTCTCAATCTTATCTAGCAAAACCATGAATTCAGGGATGTGGTCCATATCAAAATAATTGTGTGGCATTACAACAAGCCGAAACGTTACTAAAGTCCTGGACAAAGAGGATACAAAGTTATTTAAGGTTTTGGCACTGAAAAATAAAGGAAATGACACATACCATTGCTGACGTTTGCAAGCAATCACTTTTGTGTTATAACATTCTCATTGCATTGTACATTGCCAAGAGACTGTGTTTTATCATGTCTGTCAAATGTGTGCCGCATGTGTGGTCTTAACATTACATGTACATGATCATCTGCCTGCTTGATGGGTGTCATTGACAGCCTGACTCACCGGCCACCTGCAGAAACAAAGCAGCGCTTTCGTAGCTCTGCACCCTCACAAAGCAGTTGTAGCTGCCTTCATCAGCCACCACCACCTTTTTCAGCAGGAGGGAGGCATTGCCCTGGGCCAGCTCAGTGGGGAATAAACTGGTGCGGTTGGTGAACGCCTCTGCTTGGTCCACCAGCTGGTCGCGTGCCGCCCAGTACCCATGAACGTTGCGCTTGGTGTCTGTCAGCTGCCAGAAGATGCTCAGATCAGACAGGTTGAAAGGCCCGGAGTGGTTGAAGGAGCAGCTGAGTATGACGTCCCTTCCGTGCAGCGCTACCACTGGTTGCTCCGGGACACGCAGTTCCAACACAGCTGTAAAGAAAGGAGCGGGATATGAAACTACTGTCAGTCAAATGAAAACACCTCGGACTTTGATAAAAAGTAGAAGAAGAAATATAAACTGCGCTTCCTGTATGCAAACGGATCTCAGGTAAGCTGTTACCAACAAATCACTGTGATCAAATATACTTTTAACACTACTTGGCCTATAAATATACTCTGTTCATTGAATCACTGCATTAATTCTATGTGCTGTGTTCCAGAGAAACAGACTTACACCTACTCAAATTTGAATGTATTTGCAAATAAAATCAATGTAACATTTTGAAATTCATAATCTGTGGCTGCGTCAGAAGCATCCATCCTTTCAAATTCATCCCACTAAGCTGCAAAGAATGTGAGAGGGAAGAAGAGGGGTTCTAGGTAAGCATTAGGACTTTGTTTGTGTTCCTATAGGCTTTGCCTCCTGGCGATGGCTCAGTGCAGTAAAACTCAGTGACGGAGAAAACAACATCTGTACAGCTTTGGTATAATCTTTAGTTAAATCTGAAAAAAATCTGGGGGAGGTGATGGCGGTTGAAGATAACTGCAGCGAAACTCTTGAGTGTGTATTTTTTTGAGAATTAAAGTGATGAGTTCCCATCCATCTCAAAGGCCGCCTTTTCATTCACGTTTGTGCAAATAAATGTGCGTGTGTGTTTCGTTTTGTCTAGACAAGGCCCAAAGCAAAGAGTACAGTGCATAATCATTCTGGATTAGTAGCCATCTCAGGCGGTCCAGAGTACATCCATAGTATTCTCAAGAGTCAGCATTCTCCATTGATCCCCGTCTGCTGTTATACAGCTCTGAGGCACTCATCAACATCACAGGGGAGAAAAAAAGCCACTCAGCCCCTGGGCAATACATTCTACTTTATGCTCAGCCTCTCTAATTGTTGTAATCACAGTGGCATTTTAGCCTCCTCACCCCTTTTTGAGCTCTGTCTACAACACAGCCAATGTCAGTGTTGAATCACTTTGCTGTGAAGGAGATCTGACTGCTGCCGAGGTGCTATAATGACTTCCGCCATTAACAACAAACAAGTCTTTCAACTGAGAGGGTTCATATGGATGGGTATTGCTAAGTCAAGGCAGCCCTATTTTCAATCACATTCAGCCAATCCCCGCAAGGTGTCCTCTTCACATCACACCCCCACCAACCCAATCATCTGCAGGAACAGTGCCACCCTATGTCTCACCTCACAAGTGCAGTAAAGAGACATAAAATAGACAGTATGGTGTGCTTAAAGCGCTCAGCATGGGTGCTCAGGTTTAAAGGTCTAGGGAGAAAAAAAGTGTTTTTAATCTAAATGTAAAGTTTCAAAGTTAAAGTATTGGGCACTTTGAGGTGAAATCTTTTTCTTCTCTGAAACCAAAAGTACAAAAACAGTACAAAAACAGAAACACCGTAAAAGAAAATAGTCAGTTTCTTCTACAATCCAGAATACTTGAGCCACTTATCAATAGATCAGCATTACTTCAATTTAACTTAGATTTTTGCTCCACCATTTTGACCTGGATTGAAACATCAATTCCAACAAAGTGTCACTCAGAACAATTCTGTGAGGCTGACAGAGATTGCAGGGAATTCCGTTTTTCCAAAGGTATGATTACAGAAGTCAAAAGCTCTCCTGCTGCTCTGGTGTGTACATGTCTGTGCTGTGAAGTTGTGGAGAGTATCACAGCAAAGGAGAGCAGGATTGTGCATCTGCACTGACTTTGGCGGTGGCCCAACCTTTGTGTTACTGGTGGGTTTAGTAGAAGTGGAGGGTCAGTAACAGCCCTCTACAAGACATGCATGTTGAAGGAGGAAAACAGAGAGCAATTAAATCCCTTCCCGAGCAGCCTGGGATGACTCACACCACTGAGTTCATACACAAAGGGGGAAGGGAAAGGGGAGACAGAAAGAGAGCCGGGCGTTGGGTTCACACTTAAAGATAATATCTGGAAACAAGCCAAGAAAGACACTGTGGTAGAGCCTCACACACTAATCCCTCAACCCGGACCAAAGCCATGTCAGAGACAGGGAGATAGAAACTCCTCTTTCTCATATCCTCCTTACTCTCCCTTTTCCCCCCACACAGCTTCTTTAAGTGGTGACCTACAACTCACTCTGGGGCCTTGGAAGGATGCAGCCTTGCAAGGGGACCTTCAGCAGAGGCACTGACCTGCACTTGGAAGGATAGCACAAAGGGAAAATTTTGCATTGCGTTGTGGGGCGGGCAGCAGGAAAAGCACCGGGAGCTGACGTAATGGAAACGCACGTGTGATGTCCTATTCATCAGGGGTGAAAAACCAAGGTGCCAAACAGATCACTGCACACTCGGCTGTTTCTGACACAGTGCTATTTACAGCTACTATTCTCTATGCAGAATCTACAGTAAGTGATTGTTTCTTGAGCGCCGCGAGTTTTTTAAGATACAAGTACAGCTCAGAGACTGAAGACTATACGATTAGTGGTTGATGGTGAGGGGGCTGCACCACACCCTTGTGTCTTCTCAGGGAGGGTAAGTGAGGATCTTGTGTCTCCTCAATAAAGAGATGCTCAGAAGCCATAGAGGGCAGGCTGGGAGACGTCAGGCCACGGGGATTTACACACTGCACTTTGTGTTTATGGGCTTCAGCTCTGTTTGAGTGCCTGTGAGACAGAGACGGGCACTTTCAGAGCCGACATGAAATAAGCTCATTACAGCCTTTGCGAGCACTGGCAATGGGCCCCGCTTACCAGCCAGACACCGGGCTGGTTGGAAAAGCCTGAATGATCTTCACACTGCACTCCACTCTATTTTCAATACTATCAACCACCTTGTCAATCTGAACATCTCCCTCCATCCAGCTCTTCCCACTCCGCAAAGCATGGTTGCTGCTGGATTTGCTTGTATGCAAGGGCTTTCTCCGACAGTGGATGGGTACATGGGACTGAATGTGAAGGCTGACTGGGAGACACAAAGAGAGAGCAAATATGTGAATCTCAGCTATTATGGGCAGGGTGCTTGCAGAGCAATGTACCAGACTGTTCATTAAATCCAGAGACACCTCACATTAACCTGGGAGATGCAGACAAGTAAGGGCACATGTCTGCACTGAGGCGTATTTACAAATACGTTGGCTGGTTCATCAAATAGATGGATGGGCCTCCATCAATTCAAGCGCACGTTCATTCAAGCATTTTCTAAATTAGACAATAACAACAACAAAAATGCCAAAACCTTTCTGACCTTATGAAACCAAATGTTTTCTATATTATTGCAAGAGCAGCCTCAGCTTAAATGGATTCAAATTTTTGAATGAATAAAGCAGCAGTGGTCATTACAAGAGGCAAGTTGCATTTCAAATATAGCATTTTTTAACATCTATCATTAAAAGTTTTTCTCAAGGGATATATATATTTTAGCCTTTTATAACTTGCACTGTTCTGGTGCAATTAGTAATGTTAATAATAGCAATTTTCTCTTTAACTGTGCTAGGTTTAGGGTCCTGACGTGACAGCATCCAGAATACTAATTATGTAAAGTGCAGTTTATTTACAGTGAAGTCGCTGTGTTCACATATTGTGACGCTGAAAGCATGAATGTGTTAGGAGGAGTTTTCTCTGTTGGTACTGTGAAAGAATTCAAAAACTCTTTATGAAAACAACAGTAAAGAAATTGGTTTTACAGAAAATCACTTCAGAGTTAATGACACTGGATTTTATTGCTATTTCTTGTTCTTTTGCCATTTGAAAATCTGAGCTATTGATTAACCCGTCATTTGGCTTGTATTTTAGGTTGAAATACACAGTGGTGGCAAATCAACCACAGATTTCATTATTATCTACTGCTGTGGAGAACTCCGTCATAGATTTCACACTTGACAAAAATTGCATTTGCTGCTGGGAGTGGGAGATAGGTGCATGGCAGAGGGGAACGAATTTCTACACTTGTGTTAATTCATTTGGAATGCTAGAGGAGTTTTTCTTGTTCTTTATTTACTGCGGGGAACTTGAAATGACCTTCAACATCCAATTACAACCACAACAATAATAATACAAACAAAAAATTCTTACACCTCTTACACCCGTTTCTCTGGCTGCAGCTTCATAGACCTCACTTTGTCCTGTGGTCCTTCTCAAATGCAGTCACATATAATGTTCCAAAAATAGCCAAGCTGGCTCCAGAAAATTCACAGAACTAATGTCCATCGACTGTTTTCCATGTTTTCTTCTAATTTTAATGCAGTTGTCCATGATTCTCTCTGCGAAAAAGCCACAAGAAATTTGACAGTTACTCAGCCCCAGACTGAAACCCTTATATAGCCCTTAGTTTAGTCTAGCAGGTAAATAAACTGGCTTCTCTGATCAGATCCAAAGAGTGAAAATAGCTTTGTGCGGGGACCTTTAAACATACTTATCCTATTGTACCTGTCATAGTGCGAGATGCGAGCCACAGCTCTTTCATTACAAATTTTTAAGTCAGTTTTTTGGTAACTGGAGGCCGTTGAGCTCTGCTCTTGGTGGATTGTGCTGGTCATTACTGAAAAGGACTGGGCACATTTTTGTCCATAATCTGTGCATTCTTAGTAGCTCACCACCAAACCGGGTACTACCATCTGCACTTCCTTTGTGTTTTTGGCCTCATGCCAAATTGCCTGACTTAGTAAATTTAGCCCATAAATTCTATTTGTGTAAACTACCCAGTAACAGTTTGCGCCTGATCAACAGAGCTGGATCAAATTCTCAATCGCTACAAAATCCAGCCAACTCATTTCCAAAAACCGTCCATGCTGATCAGTTCTGTATAACCCACACAGGACAAACAACTGTTTCTTTTACGGCCATGTTTTGACACACAAACTAGATACATGGTTTTGTAGAAAGACTCCAAAGATACAGATGAAACGTATGCATACAAGTGAGTCAAACTCAGAAAACAAAAAATGCTTAATTTGCAATAAAATGCAACCAAAATTTTGCTCTAGAGATACACGCAGGCACATTCGCATACACACAATTTCATGCAGAACAGACACCCAAAGGCCAGAGAACACATTGATA